TAAAGATCTTGCCACATTCTGAGCAGTGATACGGCTTCTCTCCTTTGTGAATGAGCTGGTGTGTTTTGAGAGTGCTGTGGTGATTAAAACTCCTTCCACATTGTGAGCAGTGAGTTCTCTCCTTACTGCATTTCTGTGTTTGTCTACGAGATGTGTTTGTATGGAGGACACCAGGTGATGTTTGCTGAGTATTGTGTACTGAGCGTGAGCTTCTTCTGGACACCATTCTCTTATATTTAGCCTGTTGCTTCAGCAGCTTAACATTCCTCTTGGTGGAATGTCCTGATGTGTATGTGGATGTAAATTTGAGCAGTGTAGGAAAGTGATGGAGGAGCAGACGAAGTCTTGAAAGAAGACGGCATTCACTTCTGGAAGAATAAAAAAGAAAAGAACATCTAAACTCAATGTGGCAGAAAGTGTAAAGAAAAGAGAATCTCAATCTGATGTAAAAAAAAAACAATCAACATGACTCAAGCTCTATAAATGGACACATCTAAACTCGTTTCAGGCTTTGATTTTTCTGACACTGTAGTTAATTTGACAGAATATAGATCAATGCATTATTTTATGTGCAAATAATGCATTGATCTATATTCTGTCAAATTTGGTTGCTCTTCATATGCCCTAGAAGAGGTTAGTTTTCTGGTAGTTGGTGGTTTGTACATATAGCTAATAATGTATTGCTGACTGTTGGTTTTTAGAACGAGCACTGTAGAGCATGTATTAATAAAAGGTTTCATCCTGAAAAAAAATCCTGTACTAAGTTGGCATCCAATCGGTGCAGCTGATGAATGCGGAACACCCAATCAAACTTAATTTCCACAAGATCAGCAATAAGCTGTTTAGCTGTTAAGAAGCTGTTTAGAAGGCTATGAAGCTTTTTTAGACTTTTTGAATGATTTTGTAAGAAACAAGGCTGTAACAATATGCATGGTAATTTTTTTATTATATGGGGTTTTCTAGATGATACACGCTATGAAATAAATACAGTTAGGTTTGTAAATGTGTGATGCATAGGCCCAGAGGTTGTGTGATAGACACAGTAGTTAGCTTCTTATTAAAATGTTCCGTTTCATCTTAAATGGTTACATTCTGGTGCCTCATGAAAATGTGAATAAGAAACCGGGGAATAAGAAGCTAACTTCAGCTTTGTGTGCCTTGGATGGTTGATTAGCCAAGCTGGTTGTAATGCAGAGCGGAGAAAACAAGGTTGGCTGTCAATTAAATTGACTTCAGACACTATATCAAATTATACATACTTGTAAAGGTTAATAAATATTTTATGTGTTTTTACGTTAATGCCGCAATAAAAATGTTCAAATGTACGAATTGCATCTTGCATCATTATAAAAGAAGTTGCCATTGGTTGGGAATATTCCACACAAGAAGCAGCAATCAAGGTGAAGGAGCTTCTTAAAATTGTCATCATTATTAAGGACCACTTGAAAGGAAAAAGTTATAGAGCCCTACCAAAGACTTTAAACATCCCAGTACAATTAGTTTGATAATATGTAACTGGAAAGACAGTTTGATAATGCGCAAAAGGAAAGTTCATGGAATCGCAACTTTTTCTCAGACGAACTTCGAGAAATGTAAGAAAGAAGCCAGCAGTAAATTGAAAAGAGTTGCAGGATAATGTGAAAATCGCAAAAAACAACAATTATGCCCAGAGCAGTCCTCTCCGTTCCTACACCCAATGCAAATCTCCTCTGCTAAAAAGATGCACAGAGATGCATATCCAAAATTTTTACAAGAGCATTAAGACAAATTGTACATCTTTGGTAATAATTCTGCTCATCATGTTTGATTTGTGTGTATGATCCCAAGAACACCATAACCACGGAGAAGTACGGAGGTGGGAACATCATGATATTTGAGTTGCTTCTCTGCAAATGGTACTGGGGTAGCACACGTCAAAGGAAACACGTTGGGAGTGATGTAGCGGGACTTATTAAAAGAGAATTTAACCTTATTGTCCAAAAAAGGGTTAGAAATGACTCCAAACAAATAATCTCAAAACCACGTTCTAATAAAAGAAAGTAAAGATGCTTGCATGGCCTAGCTAATGAAAATGAAATACATAGAAATGTGAATGCAAAAACACATTTTGCATTTGAATTTTAATCATGTTTTTAATAATGCACACTCAAATTGGAAATAAAAGTGTAAATACACAATTAAATTAGCATTTTCAAAACTGCATTTGATTTTTCCACAAAAAAATCCACAATATGCTGCCATTTTATGTATTTTTTTAAATGAGTAAAATAAATAATTTATTGTACATATTTTACAAGTATAATCATTTACACATTACTGCTATGTGAGTGCATCTTATCAGAGTAAAGTGGGTGGGGAAGGGCAGGGCTTCTGCTATTGACACACAAAAATATTCAGAACTAGACCATTAAGCTCAATCTAAATATATATCAGTCAATGTCTCATATGGCATGATTTGTTTTTGCATATTAATTGTTATATAATGAATGATAAGATCTGCTTTATGTGTCCATTAACAAAGCAGATAAAGACATGCACATAAATACTAACAGTTTGCTTGACAGTGAAGAAGTTGACTTGGTAACATCAGCGCAAAAACCACAAAATGACAGAAGCTGATGGGACAAACCAAGAATCACAACAGCTTGTCCCAAAGGATCAAGTCTTTTTAAATAACTTGGCTCGAAAACAAAACAGCATTTTAATCCACTATAAAAGAGCATTTCTTCCACATTAAATTAACTGACAGCTTTTCCAAGTAGCATATGTAACGTTAGGGATATAAATCATAAATGAATCAGAAACAAACTGCAATTCTTACATTTAATAGTTCAGGTCAGAAACAAACTGCAATTCTTACATTTAATAGTTCAGGTCTCACCCCAACCGCACTACAGATGCGCAGAGGAATGGGCTGTTTATCAAAGCTGATCTTCTGCTTCTCAATCTTTTTGTTCTTCTCAGGTTTCATGGCGGTTGGCAAACAAGGATTAGGTGCAACACCGCCTTCTTCTGGTAAGGAGTGTGGGCCGGGATGTCTCATGCGAACTCAGCCTGGAGACCATCTCGTTCATGAGATTCTTTGAAACAGCTTTGTTCTTTTAGATATGTTGTACACTTAAATTAGTTGACCTTACACATGTAAACGTACTGCCTCGAAGAATTAAGTTAACGAGTTCAAGTTTAAATAACTTTAGAATCACCCATTTCTGAGGACTCTAATAGCTTTATGCATATTTGCCATTCTGTTAGCATTCATGGGTACAGGCTGAACTGGTAAATCTGAACACAAGACATCATAGTGAGAATAAAAACAACAACACTGTAAAATGCATCTAAACCTTTAGCATGAGAGTATGCTGTCTCACAAAAATAACATGTTGCAAAGAGAATTCTGTTTATAAATTAGAAAAATGAGAGTTAATTAACAGAAACCAACAAAACTGCTAGCAATGCAAGGAAGCTTCTTGGGCTATATTTACCCAACCCAGTGTGAGCCAGTCATTGGTATAGCTTGCTCAGTAAAGCAGCCTATTCAAAGTTTAATGGTTTAAGATATTCCAACACAATATATAACCTATATAACAATATATAGATGCAGGCCTCTTTTTAAAGTTTTCTTGTTTCACCCTTAACATTGTCCATGTTTGACTGTATGGAAAGATGATTTTCAAATTAAAAGAGCTTAAACGTTTGTCCAACTGTTTTTAAAGAATGTCTCCCATCATTGAGAGATTTATGTCCCCTGTTTCAATACTGGTTTTAACAAGCCCTCGTCCACTTGGCTTCGTCACTGGGGGAATTGCCAGCGCCATCTTAAGGGCTGTTCCATTACTTTACTGGCTCAAGTGAAAGGTGTCCAATGTCGACTTCAGCAATAGAACTTGCACAAAAATCATTACGACTTGACGCATTTCCCTTTTAAACCCCAAAACAATGGCAGACAAAGCTGTTTGTAAGCTATTTTAAAATGCTTAACATTTAAAAACCATAACATTGTATTTGCTGGGCTTTCAGTTACCAACTACTCCATCTCACATACATGACTACTGAGACAACTTCATTACTTTTCTCTGCTACCTACCTTGTTAGCATGCTAAAGGCTACACAGCTAACAAGAACAAAAAGGAAGGCATTCCACCCTGGGACAGGATGCCAGTCCATCGCAGGGCGGACACACATACACATCCACACACCTAGGGGCAATTTCCCATCTCCAAGTGGCTTGATTGCATGTCTTTGGACTGTGAGAGGAAACCCACGCAGACATGGGGAGAACTCGCAAACTCCACACAGAAACAACCTTGGTCGCCCGGCTGGGGAATTGAACCCTTCTTGTTGTGAGGTGACATTTTAACACCTGACTGGGCTTCTACAGGGCTGTTACCTTTTAATTTCCATCCACAAGATATGAGGGATATAAAATGGCGTTATGGTCAACACTGACATTTCCACTTAAATTTATTGCAAACAGCAATATATAGCTGATACTGGTGTAACTCTTCCAAAATAGCTGAAGGATGAAAACAGATATAGGCTGCAGTCAACTTAATGTGACCCTGTGCAGCGCTGACTTAACGTGATGCATGCTGGTTAGAAATGATGTCCGACTTTCCGGCGCTTCCTGGTCTGAGTGGCAATGACAGTTCCAATCTCCCTAATATTAGTCAGTCATCATCAAAATGATCATCAAAAATCATCAAAATGATTTTAAAGCTGTTTTCAATGTAAAATTGTTGCATAATATTGTTTTAAATAATGATTACTGAAAAAGAACAACTACTGATGATTTGGACTAATAATGCACATTTAAGGAGGGGTCCCAAAACTGGTCTAGCGAAGCCCCTGGATACAGCAACGGTTAAATGTTTAATTATGGTCGGAGTGTCCCTTTAAGCACCAACAACACAGTGGAGCTGTGCGATCTCGACTGTACGGTAGGGGGCAGTATGTGTGAGTTGTTTTCAACCCGCCAGAAATTCAAAACAGTAAGTGATTCTGTGACTTCGCCTCTCTACTGGTCGTGCAGTAAGGGCGGATTTACATTTAATTACTCACTGGCGAGGAAGAAGAAAGTCAGTCTGTCTCCGAGAACTGTAACTTATACTTAGTCTCTAATGTCCTATGTATAAGCTTCTGTTTGTTTTAGCTTTCAGTGTTTTTTTAACCAGGCTGGGTGGACTTTACTAGAAGGAAATCTGGTCTTCGATCTCCACGTTTATTTTTTTTAGTAACTTGTGGTCAGTTGGGTGCTACATTACACAGGACGTCAACAGGTGGGAACGTTTTGGACTGAACTCAGTTTTAAGGTTTTTTCCTGGAATTTCGCTGGAGCCCCAGTTAGAGAATTTCAGCCGAAAAGGCTAACTTACGTCGTGCATCGTTCCTGTTGTTTCCGCTCACAGACCACGCTTTGAAGCCAGTTTTAAAACCTTCATTGTTTAATGATAACGACTTTAGTCCATATTGATATTGTACTGTAGTTGTAGACTCCTCCTAGTCTAGGCTAGTGAGTAGCATTTACCGAGTCTGGTGGATTTTGTGTGAGTAGTAGCAGATTTGGTTTCCTCCTCCAACAGAATGAACACGTCTGTTCAATGAACAGTAACGGAATTATCCTCTGAAATTCACCACGGGCACACACCAACACCTCTCTGGTAGCGAAGACGCGGAGGAAGTTCTTCAGGATTGAGGTTTTGCTCCGAAAACTCAAAATGACCGACAAAAAATACTCAACTTTAGATGAAACGTCTCTTCGGAATTTGGTGAGTTAATCAGTCAGTTATTCTACAACGTCTAAACAGGAAACCGGTATGGTTTATGGTTTATTGCTCATCGGTTTGGACCATAAAACCTCCACAGGATTTGGGATTGTGGCTAGCACAAAACATCACTTTGCTGTAGAAGCTTGACAAATTAGCCCAAAAATGTCTGACCTGACATAAAACCACAGCCAAACTGCTGCTCAGTAACTGTACAACTTAAATTCAATAAATACCTCGTAGTCAACTTCCCTGAGCACAGGAGGCTGGTTTCTCAACGTTCATTTAAAACATGACCGCTTGACAAGTCTGTACAGTGGTCTAGGTTTTGAGCCCTCTGTTCAGAATGTGACTATTCTGAATTTCAAGTTAATTTTTGTACGGAATGCAGCTCGAGGAGCTGTTCATAAACTACAAATTACATCAAAATCCCTCAATAGCAAAATTATTGTTACATGGGTTTGTACAGAATAACTCATAAAGATTGAAAGTGCTGCCATTTGAAAAGCTGAACTTTGGCCATGCTTACACCTGACAGGTGCAAATACTGTTTGACCAGCACTAACTGCCCAATCAATCATCAGACAAGACAGAAGTGTGAAAGATAACCACACATCAGGACTTCAGTTAATATAATCGCAATTTACCAAAAAGGAAGGTTATGTGTTATGGGTAATAATCATGGCACTTTCCACTGAGCCAGCAATATATGTAGTTTTTTTTTACGTCCACCGCATTCAAAATTATTCTCAAATCCTTGAGGACTAGTCAATAAAATGCCAGTACGAATAAACATGTCAAGGTTGTAAATCAAGCTGTGCTGTGGTTTGGAATTGTAGACCGAAGACCTAAAATAATTTTTGCTTGAACATGTAAGGGCTTGTTTATGCAGTAAAGCAGTGTTTTTTGGGGTCAATATGTGCAATCAGCTGAAGTACAAGTGTAAGAGAAGATTTGTGAACCTTTTGGAATGATCAGGATTTCTACGTGAATGGCTCCTAAAATGTGATATGATTTTGATCTTTTTGATGAAGTCGCAATAACAGACAGACTTATTTTACAAGAGAAACATGTTTTACAGTGTCATACCTTTTACTGAACATATGCTTTAAGCATTTAAGTTAATGTTAAAAATTGAGTGACATCTGATTTGAAGAGATCTAATGGTGATAGTTGTTCAGATGAATTTTAGCTGCCCTGCCATATTACCAAGTGCACAGTTTTGGTTAGCAGCTTTTCATAATAGAATTCTGGTCAACCTCAGTTTGTGGAAAGGTTCTTGAAGCTGGTAAAACTGGGAAGGGTTAAGTCAGAATTTAAAGGGTGCGTCTCATTTTTAATTATGTCTCTTCATTTCCTTTTTCTCATATCTCTTCATTGCTCCTTAGCCACTTCCTCTGAGGATGCAAGGAAGAGATGCAAGAATAAGATATGAGGATGGAGAAATCAACACCAAATGAGATGTCCTGCTCTTTCTTTAATCTTGTTGCATAGCTGTGACTGGGCTTAATGATCTGCCAGAATAAAACATTTATTAAACACCTAAAATTATTGAAAACATTGTTGCACGTGTATGTGTTTATCACATGCCTTATCCTATATTTTTCTTGTATTTTATATTTCTCCTAAGGTCTACTTACAACATTTATGTGGTTTTACATACCACAAATGGTCATCATTCATTTTAAATGAACATTTTCCAACCACCTTTTATCCCTTAGAATTAAACAGCCAGTTTTTGTTACTGTGGATTTATGATTGATATATGTAAATTAACTCTGTTCTTATTGGTTGCCCTGTGTTGTACCTCATTCAAAAAGCAGTTTGGGCTGAATAACTTCAGTGTTAATGGGCAGGGTTAAACAGCTGTAGGCTTAATAGGTGGATGTATGTAAATGTGTTGGTTCTTGTGACAAAAAAAGAAGTTTGTGTGTGTTCAAAATTGGCTGTTAATGCAGAATAGGTTATATATATGGACAGGAGAGTGAACTGTATGACTAAACTAAAAATATTTACATAGTAAATCAAACTCTTTAATTAAAAAAAAAAGTGAAGGAAAGACCCCTTTTCATGATATGGGTCCTTTAACTATTGACGTTTGAGTATTGTGTATGTTATGTTTTAATACTTTTTTATGGACATGTTTTATTGAAATCCAACCCAATCAACAATTTCATTCACTTCAGCCTTTCTCAGTACCATTCCATTAACTGCAGTAAAAATTTAGTAGAAATTCAGCACTGTTGCTACTCTCCCTAAGACACATGGGCTTCATACAAAATCAAGCACATGTTCAACCTGTAGGGTCCTCACACAAAGGGTACAGAACAAGAAGGTGAGGTCTGAGGTCATTTATTTCACTTAATAATATCTGTGTTTGAGCCTACTATAACTTAAACAGCTGATCAAAAGTGATGTTGGAGGGTAGCATGGAAAAAAACACTGTTTTTCAAAAAATGCCCATCTTAAATTTACCAAAGACCACACTAAATGTTCCACAGACCTGCTGAAGCGATATTAATTAGCAAAACACTCATAAGAGGTTAGTTTAATCCCAGAGTGAGGAACCTTATTATCTCTCAATCACTGGAAAAAGAACAAATTGACACTGAAACATTGTTTGGAAATAGAGAATTATTTTGCCAGAAAACAGGCCCTAATAGAACTGTTTGGCAACTATATTTCGTTAATATAAGTTGTTCTATAAAAAAGGACCTCTTGATATAAATAAAGTGGGTTTGCTTTTATGCGGAAGGGTTTGGATGGTTTAAAATTATTGAGGGATGAATGCATGAAGTTTAACCATGGTACTCTCTTGCAGAAATTCAGAACTTCTGTCTGTGCTCTAAAACTCAAGGTGTCATACAGCGTGACCGATTCCAAGCAGGAGTAAATCAGCAACAGAACAGTTCAAAGAGAAGAAACTGTGTGTTTTAGAATCACTAAGTCAGAGTCCTGACTTCAGTCTGATTGAAATGCTATGGCATGAAGCAGGCCATTCAAGCAAGACATCCCAAAAACAAACATGAACTGCTAGTTTTATATAGAGGAAAATACCTCCTAATGGGCCAAAATACCTCCTAACCGCTGCGGAAGACTGATCTGTAGCATTTGGTTGCGGCTGTTGCCAATAAAAGAAATTGCACTGCTTACTACATATAAGAATTGACATACTTTTGTGATGTGCATGATTATTTAAAGCATTTGTTCTATAAAGATAATGCATTGGAAAACGTTTCTTAAAGTATTTAAACATTTATATATTTTTTAGAGCTGTTTAGAAGTCATACAGAAATCCAGACAAAGAAGTGTATAAAAACGCAGGCTTTATAATTTTTTTTTTTATGTTGTACTTTTTCCAATTCTGAGCTTGCGCTAGGAAGAAACATGGGACTGACAAAATTAGCCAGCCCAACCGAAGTCCACCACTTTTAGAATAGAGTGGCTTCATGTTATGTTATGACATAAATGTGTTTTTTATTAAAAATAGTGGACTAAACAAGAGGACAGTGGCAGTCAAAATAGGTTCTATTTTGTTCTGATCAGTTAGCTCATCTACACAGAACTGAGCATGTAGTGTTTTATTAATTTATTTACACTCAAAAGGCTAATACAATGTAATGTAATGACATCAAAGTGAGCATGTAAATTTATGTTCTTCTTGTATATTTGTTCATTAAAATTGCCAGAAATACATTTATAGTCAGGGTTTGGCCATAAATTGAAATTTTCACCCAATGCTAATGAATGGCTAATAAGTAGTTAACCAACAAGCCTAAAATCAAGGAGGCGACCCAATAAAAATGTGGTCGATTATACTTATTAATTAGCTACATAATGAATTAGCTACAGTAGCCTTGTTTCTAATTAATTTGCTACACTAACCTTGTAACTCTGTTATCCTTATAACTACAGAAGCAAATTTCAGGAAACAAACTTATCTACGTTTGGGGAAAGGGGCAAATTATGTAAATTTATTTTTTGTCCAAACCATTGGGCAATATTTTAGTTTCTTTTTTAGTCACAGTTGTCTCTTTTAAGTAGGGATGCTAATTTTGGCAAATTCTTAGACTGGTAACCGACTGTCATTAGCTGTTAAGAAATAGTTAACCAACAAGCCTAAAGTCAAGGAGGCAACCCATTTTGATCAATTCTAAAATGTCAAGAAAAATTAGATGCAAAAAAATGTACTATCTGGGCCTTTCAAAAGTTAACGAAATGCATAAATGCCGTGACTTAGCCTAGCTTGCAGTTCAGCACATTTAAACAATATTAAACAGACGTCTCTGAAAGCCATTGGCATTCACCGTGTCCTTCTCAATCACTTTGCACACCCATGTGTGGTTTCACCCATTCGTGCATCACGCTTTGAACAAAATAGCCGGTGGCTATTACTTGTGGCTCTTTGTTTTTTTTTTTTTTTACGTTGGTTAACTATTAATCTGTTAATCAGTTAATCATTCACATCCTCACTCTAAAGTCCTGTTGAACAATGCTCAATTGAGAGTGAAGTCGTACGTTTACTAGGAGCAGTGTCATTCAAAGCAGTTTTGAACTTGTACAGACCTCTTTTTCTTATACCCAGGTGAGTCGTCTTGGCTGTTTTTCAGATGTTATTGGAAGTTATTGGTCTAGATGGCTCATTCAGGCTTTTTTACACCATGAAAACAGATGTGTGTTCTTATGAGTCAGGGTGTGTTAAGTGACAGCTCTGTACCTGACAACTGTACCTGTAACTGATTTGCTAATTATGATGTGTTATCTGTACCCCCACCTGTAGACACACGCTGTTTTGATTTCTCACTGCTGACTGTCGTCATTCTGGGAAAATCTGTCATCATCTGGTTAAGATATGAGCGCTCACAGAAAGGTTCTTCACACAAATATAGAAAACCCCTGTTTTTGCTTTTGAATGCCTTTTCCTTGACAGTAAAAAAACTCAGGAAAAAGATGTGTTTTTCGTAATTTTAATATTCATCGCAATCATTGTTTATTTTTTAAGC